CCTTGTCTCAAAAAATAGAACAAAAAGAAGTTTGTAGGTATGACAACAGTGTCTGTGTTTTGTCATAGGTAAAAGTATAATTTTTCATATAAATATGAGTGAACAGGGAACTTACTCTCTATAATACGTATCTCAGAAGAAAAGTTCTGTAGAGATTAAAAGCAGTATTTAAATAATTTTAACAGTTATGCTAAAGGATACTGCTACTCCAAGTTCTTTACTCTGCCTGTATTTACACTTTTTGCCTCCTGAATTTCCCCCTGGGGAAGCAGAGTATACTTTTGATGGCTTGCTCTGGGCTTGGCCAGGTGAAGAGCTTTTGATGCTGACTTACAAGATGCAGGCAGGGGCTCAAAATGTGTTAGGTGGCAGCACATCCCCTCTGTGCTCTGCCACCACCAGGAGAACATGATCCCACTTGTCCCTCTGGTACCCTGAGGATGAGAGACCTTTGAATCAGATCTAGACCCAGTCAGCAGCCTGGAGTATAGCCCAGCCTAGATCCATCATACAACCCCAGCTCACCCACAAACATAGGCACAGGAGCCAGAGTGATTAGTGATGAGTTGGGGGTTGTTATTCAGCATTACTGTTTCAAGAGCTGAATGGTACAGTGGCAGAACTGACTCTAATTCTTTACCATCACGTTTGGGGAAAGATATGCCCACACATGCACACAGGGAAGGTAGGACACCACAAAGCAATGGTGCTTACATCTGAGTTACATTTTTGTCGGTGTTGTATCTGTTTCCCATGTGAGCCTAGATTAGAATTAGCAGGAATAATTTTCACAGGCAGAAGAAAAATAGCTGCAAAATCAAGAGCTGAGTGTGTTTTGGTGTAGAGCGCAGGCAGCAGCCTTAATGAGGAAGCCTCAGGGTCCCTTGCTGGGGCTGCTGGCCTGCTGCTCTCCCCCTCCCACCTTGCTCTTCTGGGTCACAGAACAGGTCACAGAGGCTGGTCAGTGCATAAGGGCCACCGAAGGGTTCTCTTTGGAGACCTGTGAAGACAGGTCTCCTGTTCCTTTCACACCAAGACATTAAACCTCTAGGGAGGGAAGTGAAGGCAGTGTATCTCTCAGTGTCTGATGTGCTGAGCTCCATCCCTGTTCGTGTTTAGCCGGAGGAAGAGCTTCCTGGATGAGAGCTGGCCAGGAGTCCACAGCAGGCATGTGTGCAAAAGCGTGCCCCTGCCAAGCTTGCATTGATAGTCTTGATTTCCCCACTTGTAATCAGAACTCCTCAACTCAGGGGCATTAATGAGTGTAAAGTTTGCTTCTGGGTAGAAAGAGCATAGCATAATTGGTAGGATTTTCCTTATGTACCAGCTCCCTGGGTGCTGGACAGCGCCCCCTTGTGTTCTTTTCACAAATGCACTAGTAAGAACTACTGGTTTTCGCTCATGCGCAGTCTTCTATTATTTGTCAAAATGTCATTCCACTTGCTCCTTTAGCACCGCCCCTTTTTCCAGAAGCTTCTGGAGGGTGCCTGCATCTCTTCAGCAGCCTTCCTGCGCCCTGAAGCAGGCCTCTTTTCCTTCCTCCGGTTATCTTCCTCTTTTTTCTCCCTCATCACAGGAGACACCAGACAGCTGGTGCCCTGTTAGACTGGAGTGGACGGGCCCTTGCTCCTGGGGTTTTATCCCGGGTCCCAGCTCCGCAGGCCGAGCCCCACTCTCCTTCGCTCTTCCTTGTTTTTCTTCTGGGGAATCCCCGCCACTGCCGTTACCCCAACACCAGTCCGGCCTCCTCTCTCCGGGTTCTTTCTCCCAGCTGAGCCAACCCTCACCCAGGGTCCTGTCTCTTAAGTCATAGCCTTTGCCGGGACCCTCCCTCACTCCTCCTCAGGGACTGCATTTCCCTTTTTGTCTCCCCCAGTGACCACTAGTGGACACAGATGTTGGGACTCCTACCCAAACGCAACCCTGAGGTCGGTGATGACCCGGTATAGGTCCGTGACCCCGTTTTTGTCAGCTTTGGCCCTAAGTTCTTTCCTTAGCTCTAATTAAACTTAGGCCCTGAATGAAATTAAATCATGATGTGTAATACTAGTAGTGTACTTGACCATGATGAAAGGTTGACATGTGATGTGATTAGCATGATTAGCATAATTATCGTGGTCAGTGTTTATTGGGAGAAAATGAAGGAAGACAAGGTACTTTTGAACACTAATCATTTCTGATTATTTAGGAATAGGGAGTCGTTCTTTAAAGTTATGTCTGAAGTTCTATGATTCTGGAAGGACATTGTCACTGGGAGAAACTAAGCAAACATTAAGTGAACACAGGAAATGCAAGGTATTATCTATGTAATTGCTTATAGATCTAAAAATTTCACCACAATAGAAATTTTAAAGTAAAAATCCACGTGAATGCAGGAAAGCACTCTTGTGTTTGTAGAGAAGATACTGCAAGTTTCTTGAGCAGTGGAGCACAGTGGCCAGCTAGAAAGGCTCTAGGGTCCAATTACAGCCTCTGTGATAATCAGCACTGTCAACACTTCTCTTTCTCATATTTTGTAGTGGGATTTCAACGACAGCACACATTGCTCAGGACAAGACGAGGCACTAAGCATTTACCATGGGAAGTCTCAGAGGACGCCCAGGATCTGGGTAACCCTGAGTTGAATTTATGCTACAAGACTTGCTAGCCACACCACAAAGTGGCCAGTGAACAAACTGCACTCAATAAGAGCAGGACTCCAGGGGTACAGTCAGAATACTGGTTATCCCAGGTGGGGAGTTCCTGGAAAGGCCCAGCTGTGGCTTTAGAGATGTGGAAGTCTCTGGAGCTTGATCTGAAGGGGAGCTACCCTGGTACCACATCTGGCTGTTCACAGTAAATCTCTGGGCTCCTTATTGGGTTATACTTCAATCTTAAACACTCAAGTATAAGTGAATATTGGGATAACTGATCATTTAGGTTCAGAAAAATTTTGAAAACTAAGAGATTGGGTTTGTCTTTCACAGCAAAATTAATTTTAATAATAATTAGGAAAGCTCTGTTGGGTAGTTATCCATTATGTGGAGGAAGAAGGACATTTCCCAGGATTAAAGGCAATGAAGAGCATCAGGGAAACAGAGCATGAGTGAAAATACTCAAAGAGCTACCGGATGGTAAGTGCCATGCTCCCAAGCCCTCATCATCCAGGAGTCATGCAGTTAATATCTGTGGAACCATTTAATGAGTAAAATGGCAAGTTTTTTCCTGGATGCCTGACAGTGTGGAAGGTGTGAGGGGAAATGGGATGGCCATGCAGGCACCTAAGAACCTGTGGACAGTGTCCTCACTGGAAGGGAACACTTTCTCAGGTAAAGATGCCTCAGGGGACACTCTGGGTCTCTGCAGGAGAGCAGCAGCGAGTTCCCAGTAGGCAAAGTCCATGCTGAAAGCCTCTTCCTTCCCAGCCTGCTGCACCAGCTGCCCAGACTCTGCTCCTCCTGGGGACTCAAGAGAGTGGCAGTTAGGACTGCTTTCCAGCAAGTAAGTTTTGCTTTATTTATTTATTTGTGGGAGATGATTCTACTTTTTTAATGTTTGTTTTTTCAGTACCTATTTGTAGTACATAATTGATAGAACTGTGGAGGGGAGGAAGAGGAGGAGGACTGGTGGCGGCTGAAAAGCTAAGTATAAAATATAAGTAATCTTATTTGGGAATGCGGGGAGAGACACCCCCGACACCCTGGGGCATGGCATCTCCACTCTGGGGCCGGCGATCTCTCCGTGGAACACGTGGAGTGAGGCACATAAGTAGCCTCGGCCTGGGGTGGAACCCAAGGGGGCATTAGGGATGCACAGGTAGTCCATTGGTCTTAGTTTGGTGCCAGAGGTAATTCCTAAGGGTGGGGGGAGATAGGAGCTCCTTGGCTTTACCGGCTAAAGTATCCGGCCTGGGCCAGCAACCCTTTCATATCCCGTCTTATGATTATTATGAAAAGGGGCAAAGATTTCTCTCTTTAACTACTTCCTGCTGGCTGAGGGTGCTGTACTGGGGTCTAGGGGAGTTGACGGGATGATGGTTGATGTCTAGGTAGAAGCTGGTGCCAGGAGTTTTAGCCAGGACAACTTTACTGGTGAATGCACGTATGTTAGACTGAAAAAACAAAGAGACAAGATGTTATGAGGAGACATGGCACTGTCATATTTATGGACCCAAGTGAGGTAGAGGGAAAGGTATCTTTGATTTAGACATGTAATTCTATCAGGATGACGTTGAGGTAGGAACATTTTTATGGCAAGGCAGAATTCTGAAAAATTAAATGTGGAATTAGGAGGAGTGAAGTTATGAGAGGTGCTTATTCCCCCATATAGCATAAAAGTTAAAAGGTAGGTAGGTAAGGCTTATCTCTGATATATATGACCTGTGAGTCATAAGGCAGAGATGAGTATCAAAAGGATGGTTAGATCTAGGGCCTGAGTGATGTGAAATCAGGATGGCAGTTTAAAAGGGAATAAAAGCATTTCAAGATTTAGGACTGGGACCTGTATAAAATAGGCCCTGTTTGTAACTGGCATAGGTTGACCTTTAATACTCCATGAAACATTGAGGATTTATTAGCCTAAAAACTCAGTAAGAACTCTGTATATGTGGCCTCTTATGTCCACGAATATAGAGAATGTCTTACCTTGAGAGTTTGGACATTGAGACAGACACCCACAAAGGCGGTTGGCACCTGTCAATCTCAGGCAGCAACTTTTGTCAGTGATGAATCTGGCAGTGACCTGTGAGGGCTAGAAGTTAGGATGGCCCATCCACTCTCTGGTGGCCAGTAATATTAAATAAATGGTAGAAAAATTGTAAGAAAAAATAGCCTCTCTTGAGTGGAACTGAATTGTAAAAAAAATGTTTGAGCGGAGCCATGAGATGCACAGTGTTTAAGGCAGCTTGAAACTCTGAGATAGATAGCGCCTGTAGGGAGAGAGCAGAGTTGTGCTTGGGGCGGGGTGAGCACCACCACACAGCGTGCAGGGGCGGGCTGACATGGAACATGCAGAGTGGGCAGGGCGAATGCTGGGACATAGCGCGCAGGGGTGGGCAGAGATCCCACCTAGAAGCTGCTATGACGGCGCTAAGATGGAGCAGGGAAATAATGTATTTCAGCTGCAACCATGCATGGGGGGGGTGGGGCTTGGAGGCCTGCAGTGGTGGCAAGAGGAGGGGGTCAAGGCCGGCTCCACTGAGGGCGCCGGTAGTGTGGAGGGGCAGCGGCAGCAGCATGTGCCCAGCGCCCTGGGGGGGGAGGAGCAGCTGCAGCAACGCATGCCCGGTGCTGTGGAGGGACGCCGGTGGCGGCGTGTGCCCAGCGCAAAGGGCTGCAGGGGCAGGGGGCAGGAGCTGCGGCGGTGGGGGGCTGGGAGATGCATAGCCTGAGGCCAAGTGGGCTCTGCTCCCAGAGGTGCAAGACCGGCAGCTGGTGAGCAGCAACCTGTAGGAGCCGGCGCGTTTGCGAGGGATGCATGGCCCAGGACGCTGCACCAAAAGCTGAACCCGTGGTGTGGACAGTCTCGCGTGTATCTCTCAGCGGCGGAATGGGCCAGCACCGGCACGAATGAGTCAGCGTGGCATGGAATGGGTTGGATGTGGAGCTGAAACTGTGGGGCCCACAGAATTGGAGCACGATGTGAGAGCGAAAAGAAAAAAAAGCTGTTTAAAATCTAAAGCAGTTTTATGTGACTCTCTTATCGTCTGGTCTCATTTTAATCTCGGCGGCGGGGGATGCGTTGGCGTGCATGGAAACAAAAGGAAGCTGGCAGCGCGGTGAGGCGGGGAGAGGAAGCGCGCACTGGGAAACAAAGAGACTCTGGCAGTGCAGTTGGGGGTTAGCCGGAGAAAAGGAGGCACTGAGAAAAACTCTTAAAGACTGCAAGGGAAGAGCTGTTATCTCTTTAAGTGTGGGGAGGGGGAGGGATCCTGGAGGAGACAAAGGGACAGGGAAGCTGGCGGGAAGGGGCACATTCCCAAAGCAAAGATAAGAGAGTTTTGTAAGCTAGTCCGCAGTGTGATAAGTAATAAGTAGGTATGGTTTTCGGGGGCGGGGGGGGGGCAGGAAGTAGTCCCTGAGATAAAATCTGGTGTGGGGTCTAGCCCATGGGGCTATAATCAGATGAGGCAATGGACTGTGGTCTGTCAGGATTTAGAGTAGTCACACTGTACCCCAGACTGACGGATTGGCTATATAAAAAGCTTTAAAGTGAGAGTCTCTCAGTGTGGGCTGTCCAGAGTGGACATCAGTGGGCCCAGAAAGCCCCAAAAGCTCTGGAAAAAATGTGAGGGCCTAGGTTTGGGCTGTCTAAAAGATGTGAAAGGGTCTCGAACCCACGCAAAGAGGGGAGAAAATCCACGTGAGCCTGGTTCAGTGGCTGTCTCTGAGGAGTTGCTCACCTGTGGTAAATTGGTGGGTGTTGTTTGAGAAACAGCAGTCAAGCTTAGAATTCCTGAGTGTAGAAGTGAGGAATTACAGGATGTAGTCTGGAGGGGACTCAAAACTGGGAACCAGCCCCAGGAGTCTCTCACATGCTGTTCCCGGTCACAGCACCATCTGATAGAACTGTGGAGGGGAGGAAGAGGGGACCGGCGGATAAGAAATATAAAATATAAGTAACCTTTGTTTTGTGAATGCGGGGAGAGACACCCCCAACCCCTGGGGCATGGCATCTCCACCCCAGGGCCAGTGATCTCTCCGTGGAACACGTGGAGTGAGGCACATAAGTAGCCTCGGCCTAGGGTGGAACCCAAGGGGGCATTAGGGATGCACAGGTAGTCCATTGGTCTTAGTTTGGCACCAGAGGTAATTCCTAAGGGTGGGGGGAGATAGGAGCTCCTTGGCTTTACCGGCTACAGTATCCGGCCTGGGCCAGCAACCCTTTCAATAATGATTACATTTATCATGGGTAGTTGGTACAGGTGCCTAACACATCCTTATTCTTGTTATGTCTCCTTCCCCCACCTTTCCTCCTCCCTCCCTGCATCTTTTGGCCCTCTCCCATTTAGGAAAGATCTGTCTCCCAGTATCCTAGTATCTGTCTTTTATTTTGCTGCTTAATTCTACTTTGGGTTTGTCATGTAAGAGAAACCATGTTATATTTAAGTCATGTGTCTGATTATGCTTAGGCCTCAGGTTCAATGCCCGGAAAGTGATTTCCTAGCTGAGGCCCTTTGCTCAGGAAGTGGTTTCCAGCTACAGATTCTTCTGGACTGATGTGGTTGGGCATAATTGTGATAGATCAAGTAAGGACCCAACTAGTCACTGCAGGAAAAGGGAAATGCTCAGAGGTGTTTGCATTCCTTATTTAGCTTTGTACACTTTAGAGGTTCTCTAGGGCCAGGAGAATAAAGGCCATGGACCTGGGGGAGACTTAGAAGCTGCAGAACTGAACTGGATCCATTTCCTTCCCGAGTCCTCATTTTCTGAAGGTACTTTCTATGCAGACTACAGGTGATACTCTATTGGTTCTATGGGAAACTCCACAGAAGGAAAAACGGGAGCACAGAGAGGCTAAGTTACATGTCCAAATCCCACAGTAGCTAAGCCAGTGAAGACGGGAACTGGTATGCTCCTTTTGTAGCTGTACCTCTCACTTTATGGCTCCATTCCAGCCTGGGGGCTCTGGTTCTGCCAGCAAGCCAGGACTTTCCTGCTTTGTGTGGGATCCTTTCACCAGCCAGGAATGTGGAAGGTTAACTACTCCTTAGTAATGTTTTTTTTTTTAAATTCTATTTTAAAGAGACAAAAACTTCAAAATTTCAAAACAAGATAATAGGAGAGTAACAATGGCTGATACACTGTTTTCCTCTTTAAATCATTTACATAGAGTAGAAGACAACAGCATTTAATTGTTTAAACTATATTAGCACAAACTTTTCTTTTCAATGAACTAAGAGAAACTAGTAGCGTAACTATCCTAACTCTCATATATATGCATTTTTTCTCTTCTTTAATTTCATCATTCCTCCATCCTAGTTTCTCTTTCCTTTTGGAATTTCTTCCATTTTCCTGTATCTATTGTACATTTTGCATTTGACTTACTTTTTCAGCTTCTCACACTAGGGAAACAATATGATGTGTGCACTTGTGCATCTGGTTTATTTCACTTGAGAATATAGTGTCCGGTTGCATCCATGTACCTATGAAAGTATCCAGTTTATCATTCTTTATATCTGAGTAGTACTCCATTGTATAAAAAGACCACCTCTTTTTTTTTTAATCTATTCCTTGGTTGATAGGCATTTAGCTTGTTTCCAAGATCTGGGTATTACAAATTGTGCTGCTATAGACATTGGTGCACATATATTGCTGTGGTATGATGTTTTTCATTCTTCTGGGATGATATTCCAAATGAGGAACAGCTAGATCAAGTGGACCTGGAATCCCAGTTTTTTGAGAAATCTGCACACTGATTTCCACAGAGGTTTCACCATCTTGCATTCCCACCAACAGAGAAGAAGGGTTCCTTTTCCCCACAGCTCTTACAGCATTTGTTATTGATTTCTTGATAATAGCCATTCTTTTTAGGGAGAAATGGAATCTCAGCATTGTTCTAATTTGCATTTCTCAAATGACCAGTGATGTTGAACATTTTTTCATGTTTGATTGCTGTTTCTACTTCTGAGAAGTGTGTATTCATTTCAGATGCCCATTTCTGAATTCAGTCTTTATAGTAGAGAGATCTGATTTTTTTGAGTTTCTTATATGTTCTCAGTAGTAATTTCTGTTTGAGAAACAGTTATCAAACATTTTTGCCCATTTTGTGGGTTGGCTTTTCATTTTGTTGGTCGTTTGACTTCCTGTTAAAAACCTTTTTAATAAGGCAAGATCTCGGTTGTTAATTCTTTGTGATAATTGTAGTGTGATCGGGCTTTTATACATAGAATTTGCCTATACCAGATTTAGTGTTTCTATTTTATACTTAGATCTTTGACCCATTTCAGATTTAGTTTACTGTGTGATGAAAGATATATGTCCCATTTTAATCTTTGTAATGGGCAGAGCCAGTTTTCCAGCACCATTTATTAAAGAGGCTGTTTTTCTTATAGTGAATGTGTTTGGCACTCTAATCTGTTCTATTGATCTTCTGGACTGTTTTTTTTTTTCCCAGTACTATTCTGTTTCAATTTCAGAATACCATTGACTGTGGTAATTCAAGTAAAGGATTGTGATGTTCTCTGCCTTGCCTTTATTGCCCAGAATTGTGTTTGCTATTCTAGGTCTCTTCTGGTTCCAAATGAATTTTAGGATAGTTTTCTCTAGTTCATTGAGATATACTATTAGAATTTTAACAGGAATTGCATTAAATCTGCATAAAAGTTTTGGGAGTATGGGCATTTCACTATATATTGCTTATTAGTATCCAAAAGTAAAGGATATATTTTCATTTTCTGAAATTATCTCTCTCCCTGATCAGACAACCATGATTTTCAATGTAGCTGTCTTTACATTCTTCATTAGATTGATTGCTAGGTATTTCATTTTCCTGGATACTATTAGGAGAGATGCTGTTCCTGTAATTTCTCTCTCAGTGAGTTTGTTATTCTGTTACAGGAAGGCTATTGACTTTGGAGTGTAGATTTTCTATCCAGATATGCTACTGAATTTAGTTATTAAATCTAGCAGTCGTATAGTGGAGTTTTGGGGCTCTTCTTTGTAGAATATTTTGTCATCCACAAATAATGATAATTTAACTTTTCCTTCCCTATTTCTCTTCCTTTTTTTCTTGCTCTTTGTCTAATTGCTCCAGGTAAATATCCAGTTGAATAAGAGTGGAGACAATGACCATCATTATCTTGCTCCTGATTTAAATGGGGTCTCACTGTACAGTTAAGGTGGCCGTGAACTCACTATGTAGTCTAGGCTGCCCTCAAACTCACTGTAATCCTCCTACCTCGACCTTGTGAGTACTGGGATTACAATGTGTGTCTCCAGACCTGGCCTAACGGTATATGTTTTAACTAGTCATTTAAATAAAGATGTGATAAAAATTAAGTTCAAACAGATGACTAAAGATACCAGGAGTTTGAAAACCCATTTCTCAAACTAAGCCTATTGATTTGGTACATTTTGTTTTGCTCAAATTACAAAGGAGTTATGATGAAATTTCAGACTTAAATAGCTTTCATTTGTTCATTTAACCAGCAACTAATGCACACATTCACTGAGTCCGGCACCTTTAGGGTGAAATCAGTGATAGCAGCCTCAGGTTAACAGGAGGGTAAAGGAGAGGAAGGAGTGAGGTCAGAGGAATAGAGGTAACAGGAAGACAGAAGATTAAAAAAATGATAGAACAAATCATGGCCTCCCAAAGATGTTCACATTCTAGTCCCAGAACTTATGAAGAGCTTAGAAGACGAAAGTAACTTTGCAGATGTGATTGACTTAGGGATCTGGAGATGGAGGCACAGCTCAGATTAACAGATGGGTTCAGTGGAATATTATAAAGAAAAGGGCAGGAGGGTCAGTGCCTGGGAAATGTCCATGGAAATGGAGGCTGGAATCAGAGAGAGAGTGGAAGGCCTTACAGTGCTGGCTGTGCTAAGAGATGAGAGCTGTGAGCCAGGGAACCTGAGCAGCCTTCAGCAGCAGGGAAAGCCCAAGGAAGTAGATTCTCCTCTTGAGCTTCCAGAAGGAACAAGACACTTTGATTTGGTGCTCCCAACCCCCAGAATTGTAAGATAATAAGA